ATTAGGGAAGTTCTCTGCTATAATTTGCTCCATTATACCTTCTGCCCCTCTCTCTCTTTCTTCTTCTTCTGGGATCCCAATTATTCTAATGTTGTTTCATCTTATGGTATTGTTAAGCCTTCTTTTTTGACCTTGCTAGACAGTTACCAATTTTATTTATCTTCTCAAAGAAAATCTCAATTTCACTGATTTCTGGTCTCATTTTTATTATTTATTTTCTTCTGTTTTTTGTTTTATTTTGTTTAGTATGGTTGACACACAATGTTAAATTAGTTTCGGGTACACAACATAGTGATTCACAATCTACTTACTTTGGATTTAATTTGTTCTTTTTCTGGCCTCCTGTGGTGAAAACTTAGATTATTAATTTTAGATTTTTTCTTTCCTAATATATGCATTCAATGCTATTAAATTTCCCTCTAAGCAATACTTTCACTAACCCACACATTTTGATAAGTTTCTGCCAACATTTCCTTAAGCTCACTGATTCTTTCCTCTGCCATTTCAAGTCTATTGATGAATCCATCAAAAGCATTCCTCATTCATTAGTGTTTATTTCTAGCATTTCCTTTTGATTCTTTCTTATAGTTTCCATCTCTCTGCTTACATTACCCATCTATTCTTCCATGTTGTCTACCTTTTCCATTGGAGCCCTTAGCATACTAACCATAGTTATTTTAAATTCCCAGTCTGATAATTCCAAAAATGTTGCCATCTGAGTCTCATTCTCCTACTTTCTCTCTTTAAACCGGGGGGGGGGGGGGTTCTTCTTGTTTTTAGTATTTATTGTGCCTTTTCTTGTTCCATGCCAGATATGATGTACTGGATAAAAGGAACTGAGGTAAACAGGTATTTAGTGTGAGGTTTTATATTTATCTGGCTAGGCATTAGACTGTATTTATTGTTTGTTGTAGCTGTAGGTGTTAAGAGGCTAAAATTTCCTCTGGTGTCCTTGTTTTTGTCTCTTTTGCTGTCTTTACAAACTTCTTAAATAAAGTCTGAGACATGCAGTTTTTTCACAGTTGTATTCCCTTATTATTATACAGGTGCCCTATTTATATGGTGGTAAAATGTGGGAGGAGGGGAATCATTCCACAGACCTGTGATTAGGTTGTTGTCTTTTAGTGAGTTTGTGCCCCTGTGCTGTGACCTTCAAAAAGCTTCTAAGTTGTTGATTTTGTTTGTTCAGATTTTTTCTTTCGAAGAGTAGAAGCTTCCAGGTTCCCTACATGCTGAACCAGAAGTATTTTAAGTATTTTTAACTTTTTAAGAAACCACTAAACTGTTTTCCAAAAAGGCTGTACCACTTTAAATTCCCAACAGTGTATGAGAGTTCTAGTTCGCCACCAGGGCTGACAATGGGGTAAGGCAAGCAAGCAGCCACAATATTTAAGACGGCACCTATTCTTAGATCCTGGTGCCCTTCACATTTTACACCTTGGGCACCTCATCGGCCTCATCCTAGTACTGGCCCCATCCTTCACATCCTTAACAATTGAAAGAATATGTGTAGACATGCTATTGTTTTTTCCTTAAATATTTGGTAGAAATCAATAGTGATGCCATGTGGACCTGAGTTTTCTTCTTGGAAAGCTGTTTAACATCAATTTCTTTAATAACTAAAAGGCTATTCAAATTATCTATTTCTTCCTGAGAGAGATTTGGTAATTTGTGTCATTCAAGGAATTCGTCAGTTCATCTAACTTGCCGAATTTATTGGCATAAAGTTGTTCATAATATTTCACTATTAGTCTTTTAATTTCTATAGAATCTGTAGTGATGGCATCACTCTCATTCTTATTATTGGTGATTATGTCTTTTTTCTTCCTGAATCAGTATTGCTAACAATTTGTCCATTTTATTGATCTTCGAAAAGAATCACTTTTAGGTTTCACTGATTTTTCTCTACTGTTTCTCTATTTTCTATTTCACTGATTTTGACTTTGATGTTTCTTTCTTCTGTTTATTTTGTTTTAAATTTGTTCTTTTTGTAGCTTTTTAAGGTGAAAGTTGAGGTCACTGATTTGAAACTATTCTTCTTTTCTAATATATGCATTTACTGCTATAAATTATTCCCTAAGTACTGCTTGAGCAGCATGCCATAAATCCCAATGTGTCGTGTTTGCATTTCCATTTAGTTCAAACGTGGGGGTTAGGGAGACACCAATACCCCATAATCAAAAATCCAATAACTTTTGACTCCCCAAACACTTAACTACTAATGGCCTACTGTGGAATGGAAGCCTGAACAGTAAAATAAACAATTAATTAACACATATTTTGTATATTATAATATTACATACTATATTCTTAAAGTAAGCTAGAGAAAAGAAAATAATATTAAGGAAATCATAAGGAAGAGAAAATACATTTGCAGTACTATAACTGTATTTATTGAAAAAAATCTGCATATAAGTAGATCTGTGTGGTTCAAACCCACGTTGTTCAAGCGTCAATGGTTCTAATTTCCTTTTCCTCTTTTTTTTTTTGGAGCTCAAAGTGGGGCTTGAACTCATGATCAAGACCTGAGCTGAGATTAAGAGTCAGACACTTAACTGACTGAGCCATCCAGGTGCCTCTCCTTTTCCTCCTTGACCCACATTTTATTTAGAAGTATAAATTTTGGTTTCCAAATATTTGCGGATTTCCCACACACTTTGCTGTCAATAATTTCTTTTTTTTTTTTTTTTAGATTTTATTTATTTATTTGACAGAGAGAGAGAG